GCTGCTTTTAAGCAGGAGAGATGTTTTCTTTGCAACTTTCCCTTTTTAGAGCGATGTAATGATACAGGACTCGGATGTAACTTTGGGAATGTTTTTAAAAGCCTTATTTCTCATTTTCCTCCTGCCTGCTCAGGATGCAAAGTGCTGGATTTAATCCCTTCGTAAACGACAAATAAAAATTATCCTGTAAATTTACCTCTTCATATAAATATCTTGACAAGCGTTTCACTAGTTGAATTTTTCCTATTTTGTACACCAGAAATATGTATGAATTCCCTGAAACTAGCACAAAACACTGCTTTCATACGCTTTCAGTGCCCAGGAACTGAATAAATCTTGTTGCTTTCAGAGCTTTCTCAGGGAGGATGCATGAGTTCCTTCCGATGGAACAGAGGAGGGGATTTCAAAGGCCGCAAGTGGGACACCGACTTGCCCACCGACTCCTCTGTAAGTTTTCGAAGACGTCTTGATACGACGGCTTAACTGGGGTTGCCTTTCAGCGTAGCTTTTGGAGGGGGTGGCCAGTAAGTCTTTTGAGGAACACAGTAAAACCCTGTTTGCATCGCTTACGCAGATAATCCCGTTCTAGTCAGTGAGATTACGTGGGGAATAATGCAAATGGGATTGGACGTTGCGTAGATCACAAAAATGCAATTGCATGTCTTAGTCTTAGGCTGGGCTCTTCCTTAGACTCCTCTGAAGCGTCTGGCAGATAACCACGGGGAGCAGCCCGACGGGTGGGGATCTTGGCGGTGCAGTTCTCTTGCTGTGTTTTTGAAAAAGCCAAATGTCTGCCTTAACCTAACAATTCCTAACGCAAGGAAAACCTTTCACCTTGTTCTCATTTTCCTTCGCTGGAATGGACAGAGGGGGAAAAACGCAGACTGAGTGGCAGGACTGTGTAATATTGTGTGAGAAATCTGAAGATGTTGCACATCCTGCTTGAGAGAAGCCTTGTAGCGATGCTCAGCCCGTTAATCTGAGAGGTCAGGAGGAACAGCACCTCACTGTAAAATTCAAATTTTGTGGATTTTGAATTTCAAGTGACTTGAAAATTCAACTGAGGCAGTTAAAATAATTAAAAGAAAGACCACGGAACAATTCAGGGGGTAGAAAATGGGCTTTACAGTGTGAGTCTTCAGTTGAACTCTATCAGAAAGTAGAGTTAGCGTGATTTATTTTTTTTTCCTCGCTGTAAATAGATTTTCAGTTACTTGGGAGAATAAAAACCAGGAGATCTGAATGTCAGAGCTTCGCAGCTTCGCTGGCAAAGACATAATGAGATTCAGTTGCCGGAAGCTGAAGTTGTACAAAACCAGTCTTGAAATAGGATTTGATTTTCTATTTGTGAAGATGATAAAATACTTGGTAGTGACTGGCCACGGGGCAACTCTTAGTGTCTTGAGAGACAGCAGGGTGAAGAGCTCGAAAGCGTTTAAAGCTGATGAGACAGAGTTGCACACGCTGGAATTCAGCCTTTTATCAAAACCAGCTGGGAGGGGTGGTGGTGGGCAGTATATTAAACTGTTAAGAACTCTGGGAAAGAAGTTCCGATGTAAGAGGTGAATATGAACACTTGCCGTGAAGCTTTGACATTAATTTACTCGAGACAATTACTGTAAAAACCCCAGAGTTCCACGTTTTTGCATGTAATGACTTCTTGAGACTTTTGGCATTTAGCCCGGAGAAACTCTTGTTTTGTCAACAACACAGATCGTGCTCTGTGTAATGAACACAGAAAGTATCGGATTACAGATAATTTGCTGACATTTTACCCCCATAAAATGTTGCGAACTCTCCGGGAAGGGTCAAAACACGAACAGCAGGCTGCGGTGTGGTTTTCCGGGTACTTGTTCCAGGACTTTATTTCAAAATGTTGGCCGCCTTAATAAGACTCACGGCCAGCTCAGGTTTTTCCCGGGGTTTTTATTTTGCCTTTTGTGAGGAGAAAGGAGAAATCTGCTCGATAGGTGTCGCGTCGGCAACGCTGGAATTTGATTTCGTCAGCCCTTCTCAGCCAAAGCCTCGCAGCTAGTACAGAACCCATCGCTGCAACAGATGGCTCGGAGTTCATGGCCTAAATATGCTAATAAGATCTGTGACTTTGCCAAGTTTTGCAGGATGCCAGGATAAAGTTGCCCGTGCGCAAACTGAGCCCCTGCCATAGAGCAGCAGTTTATCGCGTTGTGACTGACGCTCTTTCACTTGCCGGAAAAAATAAACCTGCCTTCAGCCCCGCAGTGTGCCCGGACCGTTGAAATCTCTGCTTTAAGCGTTAAGCTTATTTCTGTATCGGAAATAGTGTGGCCAGCAGGAGCAGGGAAGTGACCGTGCCCCTGTACTCGGCACTGGTGAGGCCGCACCTCGAATACCGTGTTCAGTTTTGGGCCCCTCACTACAAGAAGGACGTGGAGGTGCTGGAGCGTGTCCAGAGAAGGGCAACGAGGCTGGTGAGGGGTCTGGAGCACAAGTCTGATGAGGAGCGGCTGAGGGAACTGGGGTTGTTCAGCCTGGAGAAAAGGAGGCTGAGGGGAGACCTCATCGCTCTCTACAACCACCTGAAAGGAGGCTGTAGCGAGGTGGGGGTCGGTCTCTTCTCCCAAGTAACTGGCGATAGGACGAGAGGAAATGGCCTCAAGTTGCGCCAGGGGAGGTTTAGATTGGACGTGAGGAAAAATGTCTTTACTGAAAGAGTGGTTAAACATTGGAACAGGCTGCCCAGGGGAGTGGTGGAGTCACCATCCCTGGAGGTATTTAAAAGACGTGTAGATGAGGCGCTGAGGGACATGGTTTAGTGGGCATGGGGGTGTTGGGTCGACGGTTGGACTCGATGATCTTGGAGGTCTCTTCCAACCTTAACGATTCTATGATTCTATGATTCTAAGCTGCCTTGGGCTCCTAAACACAGAGGGGTTAAGTCGACGTTGCAACCACAGGCTGTCAAATACTGTAACTAATGCCTGAGACCGGGGCAGGGAAGCTGCCGTATTTTTAAGGACACTGAAGTGAGATTTGTTTTCCTTTGCCCAGATCATTATGCACGTGTTCTGCACCTACCTCGACTCCAGGCTGCCACCTCACCCCAAGTATCCCGACGGCAAGACCTTCACTTCCCAACACTTCGTTCAGACACCAGATAAACCAGGTACCGGCACTCGCGTTTTAGCTCTTTGCCTCTTGGATCACGTCAGCGCCCTTGAAACCCCGCTTCGTTCGCAGACACTTCAAACGAAAACGTGTTCTGCATCTACCAGAGCAGCATCAATCCGCCCCACTACGAACTGATCTACCAGCGCCACGTCTACAACCTGCCCAAGGTACGGTGGCGTTAGTGCTGTTCTCCTGCTGCACGAAAACGGTGGCAGGTCTGATTTGGGGTTGGGGTTTGTTGGCTTTGGGGTTTTTTTTTTTAGGAACTAGCCGCGTTTAGTGACTATTTACACGTAGGCTGGCTCAGTGCAGGAAGGAAACATTAGCCTGGTCTTTGACCACAAGGTTGTACTTAGTCTGCTACTAAATAACAGCTTTAGTATCTGTTTAAGATAGGCGAGTACCTAGGCCTAGCTTCCTCTTGTTTATTTTCTGACAATTTATTTTAAAATACCGAGTTGCGTAATCCCTGATGTGTGTTGTCACCCCTTAAGGCCAGCAAGCCCGGGGCTTGTCCGTGGGAGTTCTGCGGGGGGAAGCTTCCAGCCTCAAAACAGTGAAATTCTCCTGTGAATTTTAATTTTATATTGAGCCCGGGTTGTTGCTGGATCCCTGCTTTCCAAAAAGCTCCGGCATTTCATAGAACCGTAGAATCATTAAGGTTGGAAGAGACCTCCAAGATCATCGAGTCCAACCGTCAACCCAACACCCCCAGGCCCACTAAACCATGTCCCTCAGCGCCTCATCTACCCGTCTTTTAAATACCTCCAGGGGTGGTGACTCCACCACTCCCC